ATGCCCCAACATATTTCCTTCAAGTTGTCCAAAGACCATCACTCTTCATCTGGAATAATCTCTTCCATGCATCCCAGCACTTCTGGCTGGTATGCTTTGGAGGACTTTGCCCACCAACAAATCCAACTATTGTAATCTGGACAACAGTTCACACAAAAGAGAAGGGCTCCCACTGGTTCCCCACACCAGGATTTCTGCCTCTGGGTCACCCACTTGAAATTTTTTCCATTTGCTAAATATCCCAGTTCCACAGTGTTCCCTGGTCCCCACAGCCTGTCGTGTCACATACTAGCAACAGCAGTGAGCACATGGTGAGAGTTTCCTTTCCTTTTCCGGATTTTTTTTTTTTTTTTTTGAAAAGGGATTCATATGTGGAGTGCATAGTCCAAATCCTTTAGACTCACAGCGCAATGTGGAGGTTCTTCTCTGCTTATCTCTCATTCCAAAGTCCTATTCTCCAGGCAAAATCACTTTCTTTTTTATTTGCTTCTGAAAAGATAAGGGTATATAACTATTTTCACTTATATTTTGATATAAATTGTTGGCTTTCTATTATAATGGCAGAGGATTTGATGGCCATAACCCACCGTGTTTTCACTTTCCACTTTCAATAATCCTAATAAATTTTTATATCACAATTTTTGGTTAAATAAATAAATAATGAGTATTTACATGAATAGGACTATGAAATCATTTTCATTTGAGAGCCACAGCATATATGATGAATAGGATTCTTTTTCATGACCCATTCCCACTCCCAGCACCAGAGCTAAATGTTTCCTTTTACCATTCATTTAGTTTTCACTTTCCTGATGGCTAGCTTTCCCCCAAAGCTTCCCTATTTCTGCCAAGCACCTATCAAATATTTCAAATTATAACACATTAGATTATCTAGTAATTCTCCTTTCCCTGGAAGCCTCCCTTCCTGGCTTCATTTGGCCTCTCTGTTGGATTACACCCCCTGTCTTCTTTTGTTTCTTGGTTCGCTTGCTTGTTTTGATAAAACACATCTTCTAGTGTCTCCTAAGAAAAGATATGCAGAAGAGAAAAAATTCTAAATGTGTGGCATGCCTAAAAATACATTTATATTACTTCATACAAAAAATAATTTGCTCAGATTTAGAAACTTAGGTCAACATTTCAAAGGCACTATCCCATTGTCTTCTGACTTTCAATGCTGCTATTGTAAAGTCTATTGTCACTGTGATCCTTAAGCCTTTATATGTGTTATACCCCATCCCACCCCAATATCTAACTTGTAAGATTTTATCTTTATCCCCAATGCCTTCAGATTTCATGATGACACATTGTGGTGTGTGGAATTAATGTAATTTAGTTGTGGTGGTGCTTAACATTTGTAGTCTTTCCATTTGTGGTCATCCATTAGATACTAATTTTCTTGTATTATTTCTTTGGAAGTCTCTCCCTTTTTGTTTTCTTGGTTCTATCCTTTCACAACTCTAGTTAGTAAGAAAGATGCTGAATTGTGTAATTGACCTTCTGGTGGAATTTTATTTCTTATTATCAATCTCTTTGTCTTTTTTATTTTTTTCCTAGAGATTGCTTTGATTCAATTAGGTATTTCCATACTTGTGCTTTTAGTACCTTCTTCACCCTTTCTTGGATGCATTTCCCTGAGATTATGATTGGAGGTTCATTTTGAGCTCACCTTTGACTCCCTTCTCTCTAATTCCTCTGAGTTCCTTTTTCTGATTGTTGTTTGTTTTCCTCTATGATGGTGGCTTCATCCACATGTTCAATGATCCTTGGCAATCTATGCATGTCTAAGAGTGCAGCACTCCAGAGCTCTTTGAAGTCTTGTTGTTGGTGGTGGGGTTGCACTAGACTGGTGGGTAGAGCAGATTTCTTTATAAGGCAACCTTCATGTATAAGATTTTTAAGTCTCTACTTAAAAATAGGGACATGTGTCCTGCCTTAGGCTGCCAATTTCTTGGGAGTTGAGGGAAGGGACTTTGGTGGCTTTTCTTGGTGTGTATTGTCTTTCTTCTTATACCTCAACCCATTTTCAGTCTGAAGTTTCACTCCACCTCTGCTTTCTGTAGTTCCTGAGTTTAGAATCACTGCTCTTCAATTTTTTCAAAGAGCAAGCCTCCAGGTGTACCTGGGGAGTGCAATGGAAAGACTGGGGTCCCATGGGTTTCCTAGAGAGTGAAGATCAACCCCTCTATTTGCACCCACCTTCCCTACTCATCCCATCTCCTGTAGTGCCAGCTACCTCTAACTGCCCAGCATCTGGATTCAACTGAATGAATGGACCTCATTCCTCCTTGTCCCTGAAGTCCTTGGATCCCATGCCCTTTCCCTTTCCCACTACTCTTAAACTTCAGTCTACCCATCAGAAAAATAGGGATAATAGTAGTTCCCCAGTCTTGGGGTTGCTGTGAGGTGATGGTGCCATTTGTTCTCAATTGAGAGTCATCAGAACAGCCCTTTGGACAAGCTCTGTCCCCCAATGTGGGTTATGTTTTGCCCACACAGGCCCAGAAAGAGGAGCTGAACTCAGGGACGATGCAACATGCTTATGCTGAGTGTGCAGAATCTGGAAAATCCATTCCCTGCACATGCTCTGAGCCCCTGTCAATTAGTTCATGACCCAGTCACCAAAGCAAACATGTCTCTGAGAGAATGTATGTGGCCTCTCTGAGACTTTGCTTGACCCCTCCTTCCACATCCACAGAAAGCAATGCACCCAAATGCAAAGTAGCAATAATAATAGTATGAGATGGCAGCTGAGACCTGTACGGCTGACAGTTTAAAAGGAGGAGGAGCAGGTTCTACACCAACACCATCTGCCCACTGACTTTTCAAGTAGCTTTTACCTGCCTTCAAAATTATGTCTGCCTTTAGTAAGAATAATTACTGGGGTGATAAAGATGTGGGCGTGCACTGTTCAAGGGCAGGTGAGTTGTTTTGTGTTGTTGGGCGTTTAACCCTTGAAATGATACCAGGTGTCCCTTCTGCTGCCATACGTTCCCAGTAGAGGGCGGTTCACATGATTTAACATGAACAATGAAAAGGGTAGGGGACCAGGCCTGCCTCTGTGACCTGGATTCTCCTACCGCCTATCCCAGCCTAAGGCTGTCTGAGCATGAAGCTTTTACTTAGAGCCACAAATGCTCAGAGGCCTGGCCAGATCATAGACTGTACAATCAGACATGTGGATACAGTCATGTCATTCCCATGGCTGTACCCTTCTTGGATTGTGTAACAGGGCTGATGTGTATAATTCAGCTGGATTTCTGGGAAGACAGTGAGTCTGAGTATTTTGTTTAATAAACAGGGCATCATTTGTTCAGAGAGATATACATTTAGCCCGTGCATCTTGTGGATTAAAGCATTTGTCACAATCCCCTCTTTCTCCCAAGGGAGTGTTATTGACCTCAGGGATCTTGTCTCCCATTCAGGGGAACAGATGTGGGAAGGGGATTGAAACTCTAAAGGAAGGAAGGCCTAAGACAACTGAGACCCTACCTGAGGTGAAGGGGCATATATGACTAGTGACAAGAGAGATCCACTCCCACACACTGTGTGGAGCTGCTGCCTCTGTGCTTCGTCTGAGAAGCAATCAGCCACAGTCCCAGGACAGTGTAAAATGATGGCTCCATGGTGCACCAACCAGCCCAAGGCTCAGAGCCCTGCCCTGCTGGAGCCTGCCCACTGGGGATCCTCACCGAATTTGTTCATTCCCCAGGGAACATCAGCAATGCCCAGGTAAGTGATCAGTAACAGGAGGAGGAGGAGTAAGAACATAAGTTATTTGCAGCAGAGTCTGTGGGTCTGGCCACCTTTGCCTCCCTGCCGCATGCAGACCTTAGCCCAGGCTGTGACTTCTGGGTGATGCACTGCCCATGTTGTAGGTTCCCTTTCCAGAGGGCTCACTCCCAGCCAGCAGCAGGCCAAGGTGGGACAGAAATGACTTGGTATCCCCAAGGCATGGCTTTGACTGTTTAAGGACTGAGATGCTTCAAGCAAAACATTCAAATGAAGGAGACAATAGAATTAAGCATTCTACCATCCACCCCAGGTCCCTAACCCTTTCCCTGAATGTCTTAGTCAACATGATCCATAGACTAAGTGACTTACAAACAATGGATATTTATTTCTTACAGGTCTAGAAAGTGGAAGTCCGAGATCAAGGTGCCAACATGGTCAAGTTCTGGCAAGGACCCTCACCCAGATTGCACATGGCCACTTTTTTGCTGTCTCCTCAAATAACAGAGAGAGAGAGAGAGAGAGAGAGAGAGAGAGAGAGAGAGAGAACACAAGAGCATTTTGGGTCCCTTTTACAAGTGCTAATCTCATCATAGAGTCTGCATCCTGGGGATCTACTCATCCCAAAGATCCCACCTCCTAATGTCACATCAGGGATGAGGAAGGAGGGTTTCTATGTATGGGTCTTAGGGGCCCATAAACATTCAGAGTATAATACCAGGGGAAACCTGTGGTGCCATTTTCCACATTTTATGTATCCTCCCAAGGATACATACATACAAATATATGTTTCTATACAAATATAACACATTTGCACACACACAAGTAAGGGGAGCTATATACACATTCTCTATCTTCCTCTTTTTAAAATAATATCCTTTAAGATTGCTCCATATCATAGACCTAAATGTACCTTATTCTTTTTAACGATTACATGTTAATTCCATCCTACAGATGCAATATAATTTATTTAATTAATATTATTGCTGGCAGTATTTGTTTCCACCCTTTTTTGACCACAAATAATGCTTCAATGAGCCTCCATGATAAGCATCCTCATGAAGATGTGCAAACACACCTACAGGATGAAGTCCTAAAGTGGGCGTGCAGAGGCAGAACACACATATTTGTAATGCAGGTAGATGTGACCAAGGTCCCCTGCCTCCTAATCTTGTCTTCCCAGCTCACTCACTCTGTTACCTTGCCATTACTCTAACAAAATACCTGAGGTTATCAACTTAAAGAGAGAAAACTTTATTTTGACTCACAGTTTTGGAGGTTTCAGTTCATGTTCCTTTGGCCCTGTTGCTTTTGGAGCTGTGATGAGGCAGAATATTGTGGCAGGAGCATGTAATGGAGGAAGTTGCTCTCCTCAGAGCTTCTGGGAAGCAAAAAAAAAAAAAAAAAAAAAGGAAGAGGAGGAGCTGGGGTCCCAATATCCTCTTCAGAGGGACAGCCATAATAATCTAATTTCTACCCACTGTCCCCTCCTCCTAAAGTTTTTGCCACCTCCCCTATGGGAGGAGTTTCCACTCTCACCCTATGACCTGTGGATGAAGCATGGGCCTTTGGGGGACATTCCATATCCAACCATAGCATCTGCACAGCAGCTATCAAAGTCTGGAACTTTGTCAATCTGATATGTGGAAAGCAGAAGCACTGATGTTTTAGTTTGCATTTATTTTTTTTAAGATGATTTATTTTATTGTAATGAAAGTAAGCATATTTTTAAAAGTTTGGAAGCATTTTCCTTTCCTGGGAAGAATTTCTATCTGTTGCCCATTTTCCAATTCAGTTGTTGGATTTCTCTCTTATCAATTTACAGCAGCCTTTGCCTGTGACATAAGTTGCACACATTATTATGCAGATAATAGAAATATCCCTCATTCTTTCTAATGATTGCGTGGTAATTCCACCTTAAGGATGTACTATATACTTTTTTTCTGTTTGTCATTTGTCTTTTAACCCTAATCAAGATGTTTTCTGCCATGTAGAAATAGCTAGGCTCCCTGCCTCCTGTTGGACTCAAGCTCCAATTCTGACCTTACAGCTCTGATGTTTAGTATTCTGGTATTTGTGGGGTCCTGGTACCACACCCCTACAGATATGGAGGGATGAATATATTTTACTAGTTTAGTTCTCACAAAGCTTTGCAGATTATTTCTCCATTACAGATTTCTACACATCCTGTACCTGTAGATTCTTGCATAAGATAACTCCTAACAGATAAGCCCATGACTTCTCACCCTTCTCCCAGAGGTAATGATTAGCATATGTCAAGTCCCTGACAAATGCTATGGCCCTCTCAATTATCATTGCTAACCTGCAGAAGTGCCATCTGCCCAGCCACAGTGAAATCCTTGTTTACAATGCCCACCCCATCCACGTGTTCAAGGAGGCTTGGTGAAGGAGGACCTGGTACTGCTGCTCAGGTGTCTCAAATTCTCTCTGTGGCCCCAGCACAGGATTCACATGTTAGAAGGTCAGGAAGTGGTCATTTCATACAGGGCTGCCTTAAATTATTTCAGCTGCACTGAAGTATTTCAAAGTCAGACCAAATAAACATTTGCATCTATAAAAGGCGAAAAAGGGTCATTTGAAATAAAGAAGAAAGCCTTTCCCATGTCCGGAGGGTGTGGCCAGACTTTCCAGAGAAGCAGCTGAGGGTTTGCTTTGGTTTTGTGTCCGTGCCAAGGCACATAGCTCACCCCCCTGCTTCAGAAGGGAAGTGTTTTCTTTTAAATAAAATGTGAGGCGACCTAAGTTTCCTTCCCCTGATTTACTCCCTAATCACCTCAGGCCTCAGGCTGCTGTAGGGACCAAATCATTAAAGGATTCTGTCTGCTTTTCATGAGAAGGCAACCATGACCAACTCGATGCTATCAACAGGTCAGACCCAAGGCAGAAGGAAGTGTGGTGCTCCCCAAACTCAAAGTGCCTTACAGCATCCTCTACATACAGTCCTGATGGGCCCCTCTTCTTCTCTAGGGATACTTCCTAGCACCCTCCTTCTTCATGTTTGGCCCTGTGCCCAGGAGAGATGAGCCATAGTTTTCCTGAAGTCACCAGGATTGGAACTCTGTGGGCATCATGTTCTTTTCTTTAGCAATTATGCCACGGTGGCTTAACTCCCATCAGCTAAATTAAGCCTGAAGAGAGAGGACATCTGCTACAATTTCTATGAGTTGTCGCTCTTTGGATTTTCATCCATTGCTGACTCCTGGACAGCAACCACACATACACAGTCCTCACCCTGACCTCACCTGACTCACAGGTGCTCTCACACAGGTAAGCACCCTATCAATAATCTATATCTATATGTGCTCCTCCTGACAGCCCTGTCTTGGAAGAAGGTCTACACCAACAGGGGACGGGTTCCCTGCCCTGAGGTGCCACCTCCAGTGCGCCTGTTCATTCACTCATCCATTCAACCACTGGATTCAAGATGGCTGATTAAACACATTCAGGGACTTCTCCTACATACCTTAGTCCTTTACTCTGAAATAGAACAATAAGTATCAAAATAAATGCTTAGAAGATCAAGACAACTAGGAGAAGTGCCACCAGCAGACCAGACATTGGAGAATTTCCGCAAGACATAAAGCAGAGGGGATCCAATACATGTGAAGTTCAACAGAGCCAAGGAACCTACCGTGTTGTACAGGTCGGGGGGAGGGGGTCATATTAAACACCCTCCAAATCTGGAATTGGTGGGGGTGCCAGTAGTGAAGGAATGGGTCATGGGACATGGGCAATTACTTAAAGGGTTACCTGAGCAGTTGGGATAGTGCCCTGTTTGCTGCCAAGATAAAAGAGTGCCCCATTAACACTGAGACAAATTTGCCAGGAAATACTCCATAGCAAACATTGGCCAAACTATAGCCAAAATAAACCTTTTCACTTTATAAGTTGATTATCTCAGATATTTGTTATAATGTCTTTCCCATAGACAATTGGGAAAGCTGACTAACCCACCCTCTTAAAAATGATGAAGGGTGCTGGATGCCGTAGTGCACACCTTATAATTCCAGCTATTGGGGAGGTCAAGGCAAGAGGATCAAGAGTTTGATACCAGCCTTGGCCCCTGACACATCTCTAAAAGAAAGTTGGAGAGAGAAGGAAGGAAGGGAAGGACATGATGAAAGGTCCTCAGAAGTGCATTTGCATATATGTGTTAAATCAATATTTGCTTTAGAAGTTTAAATGGAGAAAATGTTTAAATATTTATTAAAATAATAATGGCATGCTAATTCAAATAATATTTACAAAAATGACTGTATTTTTTTAAAAAAAAGTCTTAGTTAAAAGAGTGACATTGGTATTTTTTAAAATCTCTCCAATTAAATCTCTCTTAATATCCCACTAGATTTTCATATCTGCTTCTGCTTCCAAGCTGTTGTGATATCATACAACATGTAGACTCTAGAAAACTCCACTGAACACCCATGAGAAAATAAAATCTTTGTGTTCCTCTTAAATAGTTTTGACTTTAGAGGCACCTTTAAAAAATTACAGGAACCCCAAGGATCCATGGATTGCACTTTGAGAACCACTGTTCTGATATTCATTCACAGATGGAATTGGACAATCCTGCATTTGAAAAAAAAAAAAAAACAACATCAGCATGCAGAAGAAGAACCAAATGGAACCTTGGAGAACACAGTATAATGCAGGGATCAGAAGAGGAAATTAAAATTAGTATAATTAATATCCTGTGAGAGGTTCAATAAGAGGTTCAGTAAGAATCAATCAGATGGCAAGTGGACACAGAACAAACATGAAAATCAATACTTCCTCTGTATACCAAGTAGGGAATGGTATTTGCAATAGCAATGAAAAGCATAAGTAATCTAGGTATAGACCTAACCAAACTTCTAGAGGACTTACATAAATAAAATTTAAGATTATAAAAGGGACATAAATTGAGAGATACATTAGGCTTCTTGTGGGACCTTCAATATTGTGAAGAGGGCAGTGACATGAGTTGCACAGGAAACAGCCCTCTGATTATACTAAATTGGGTTGGATTGCTGTTATAGGCATCAAGAGCTGTAACTAATATAGTCTATAGGATGAATGTACCCCCAAGCAAAATGAAAGGACAACTGATTGACAATAATAAAATATTTTCAATACATATTATAGTCAAAAGACTAATGCCTCTAATATATAAAAATCCTGGAGAGTCATGTGAAGAAGTTAAAAAACCTTAAAGTACAGGAAGGTCACCAAGACCACACTAGAAGTGGCTACACACAGGGTCACTAATCAACTTCTGAATTAGTTGGGGTATGGCTCAGCAGCTGTAACAAGGAAACCCAATAATACAGAGGCTGGAACCAACAGGTCTTTTTCTGTCTCAAGTTCTCCAAAGAAACAGAACCAATCAGAGGTATTTATTTACATATTGTCTTGACTTGGACTTACAATTTTCCAACTTTATGATGGAGCCAAAAAGACACACATTGAGAAGAAATCACACTTTGCATTTTGATTTTTTTCCCAGACTAGTACTGTTCAGTACAGTTCTCTTGTGATGCTGAGCAGTGGAAGTAAGCCACAGGTTTCAGTCAGCCCAAAGATTACCAAGAGAAATAACTGACCCTCTATAGTGTGCTCTATTGTGAAACACTGATGTTTGCTAAGTTAGGTGTATCAAATGCATTTTGACTTATTTCCAACCTACAATGGGTTTATTGGGACATAAACCCCACTGCAAATCAAGGAGCATCTGTTTTTAAAAGATAAAGAATATTCTTCCTCATTTTTAATACTTTACAAAATGTTTACTGAATAAAACCACAAAGTGATATAGAATCTTTGAGAATAGTAAAACTAATTTTAGAGAGTCTTGAATCTTAAGCCCTTCCCCTAGGGCACTACTCTACAATAGTTGGGCTGCTGCCAAAGCCAAAGTAGAATGGACAACACCCACTCTTTGCAGGCCCAGAACAGAAATGGTTCCTATCACCAGTTTCCTCCTACTCTGTTGATGAGGGCTTTGTCCTGAGGACAAGCCTAACTGCAAGGTAGGCTGGGAAATGTAGTCCAACTCTGTAGTGTTTGCCTAGCTCCAGATTTGTCCTAGAAGGGAAAATGGATTTTATTTGTAGGAAGCACTCTCCATCCTCACCTACCTAGTAATAAGCAAATGTAAATGAAATCCATGAACAACTTTGACTTTCCCTTTCCTTTTCTCCTCATCAAATGGACAAAATTTAAATGTTTTAGAATAACCAACTATATGTAACAGGAGGACTCTCATAGCAACAACTACAAAAAAAGGATTTCACTGTGAGATTTTATTGCATTCAAAGAATTTTGAGGATGTTTGAAGAACAGCTTTGGAAAAATGAGCA